ATTGTTGTATCCCTATTTTACATTTTTGTAACATGAACGTTTTGGTGCTGCTGTGATAGACACATTGCCTAAGGTAGAGGTAGACTACCTGTAACAAACTTGTAACGCCACTTATAGGGATCAGCATCTCTGAAAACTGGCTTGCTAGTGACCAGGCACTAAATTAAGATGACAGATCCTTGCATGACTGTGATTATAGACTGTGAAAATACCGCCTGTATATATCTAGCTATAATCTGTGTCATCATATAAAATAATGATTTAGCTGCTATTTCCTTAGGTCAAATACACAAACTAAACTCAGAAATATCTATAAAATTACTCAAACCAGAAGTTAAAGATAAATGAAGATAGGTGGTAAGAAAGTCCTATTCCTGAATCCCATTTTCTTCAACAAAATACTCATGGACAGGTGGGAATGTGGTCCATGATCATGAAGACTTTTGGACAGATTAGGAAATATTTTGTGGGAGTGATTTTGGAGTGGAGTATTAATAAGCCATCATGTATGAAGTAGAACTAGACTGAAAAATCCTGCTTTTCCTTATAAATGGTTTCCTTCTTCCCATGTCATCCCCTGAATTTCAAAATGTTCCATTATCACATAGTAGCACCAGCCTCAAGCCCAATATTTACCTTCTTTCCCAAAAGAACACTTGTCCAAACCTAAGTAAAGGTCTTACACAGAGGAAGGAATATAGATGCCATCTGTGCTCAACCATGTTGATATTGGATATGACACAGACATTCTAACAGTGACTCTGGGACCACGGGGATTCTTATGTGGTTGTTTCAACTTGGTCCTTTTAACGTGGGAATATTTTGACCCAATCTAACAGTTAACCATTAAACTTTAGCCTTTTTTTCCCTCCAAATAATGTAAACAATGTATCATCTTGACCACTGTCCCAACTGAGGATAGGACAGTAGTAGTGCTTATTATGTACTTGTAATTAAAAAGAAAAAAAGCCTGACATTTTGATGTAGCCTCATCACACTTGCTGATACCAGACTGGCCAAGTTCTGCCAGCTGCTTTCAAGCCACTTGTGAAAATGGTTCTTAATATAATAAAACTCACAAACAACTTAGGGTGAGCCCTGCATACAGCTTTGTGCTTTTAAGTACTTATTGTTGAACCTGTATTGAATGTCTTTCCCCTCTGGCTCTGGAAGCCCTTGAAGCCAGGCAGCTGTGAGGCCAGTTCAACCCAGAGTCCTCAGAGGTTTGCAAGGACCTAAAACAGTGTTTTTCAACCTTTTTTAAATCTCATAACACACTTCAACCTATAAACTTCCGCAACACACTTAAATTATGTTGATAAAAAAAGAGTAAAAAGAATATACTTAACGGTGCTTTGAATGTGTTTCAAAAATAATGGTCTTTAAAAATTTTTTCAAGGCACACCGAAGATGCTCTCACAGTACACTGGTTGAAAATCACTGATCTAGAAGCTAGCAAGGAAACTTAATTCAATTGAAGGCTTTCCTTGGAAGCTCATCTTGAAACTACATATTTTACAGAAGCAGCTACTGAGAGTGTATTTCTTCCAGGGAGCCTTCAAAAGAATATTTTAAGAGCATTTCCAAAGCCATTCCCAATGGCTTCTAAAAACGGTCTTTTTTGAACTGTGGTTATGTAACCAAATGAGGATGTGTATGTGGTATCAGCTTACCTACTTAATTCTCCTGTATAAAAGACAATTCTTCAAGTGTGTCTCTGTTTACCCGACAGTGAGGCTGGATGTGGTAATGTGGTAAAGTATCTGGTAACTTGTCTCTGAAGATGCCTTTACTCTAGTTGGATCTGGTGTAATGGCCAGTATTCCAAAGTTGCATACGATTATTTAATATTTCAAAATGTGTAATAAATAAAAATTAATTTTCTGGAGCTGAAAGAGCCTCACCTAGAGAAATGTTCTGGTTTGTTATCCCTGTCGCCCTAAATAAGACAAAATAATATGCCTGGCTCTTAGGAGGACACAGGCACAAAAGAGAAGTCTCTGAAGAAGAGGGATCCAACCTACAATTCCTCTACTAGGTATATATCCAGAAGACCAAAAATCACACTACAACAAAGATATTTGTATCAGAATGTTTATTGCAGCCCAATTCATAATTGCTGGGTCATGGAAGAAGCCCAAGTGCCCACTGACCCACGAATGGATCAATAAATTGTGGTATATGTATGCCATGGAATATTATGCCGCCTTAATGAAAGATGGAGACTTTACTTCCTTCATGTTTACATGGATGGAGCTGGAAAATACTCTTCTTAGCAAAGTATCTCAAGAATGGAAGAAAAAGTATCCAGTATACTCAGCCCTACTATGAAACTAATTGATAGCTTTCATAGGAAAGCTATAACCCAATTATAGCCCAATAATATGGGGAAAGGGGAAAGGGAGGGGAAGGGAAAGGATGGGTGGATGGAGGGTGATTGGTGGGACCACGCCTATGGTTCATCTTACAAGGGTACGTGTGAATTTTTCTAAATGTAGAATATAAATGTCTTAACACAATAACTAAGAAAATGACACGAAGGCTATGTTAACCAGCTTGATGAAAATATTTCAGATTGTATATAGAACCAGCACACTGTACCTCATGACTGCACTAATGTGCACAGCTATGATTTAACATAAATAAATAAATAAATAAATAAGTAAAAGAAGAGGGATCCAAGAGGCGGTTTTACTCAGATAAATGGTGATAGGAGAGTCCCATAAAGGTCTGAGCCTGAGTGATGAGCTGGTATGGTGGACATCAGGTATAATTAGGAACCAGAAATTCAACTTAGTCTTTCAGTTCTTCCCACAACAGGAAAGAAGGTGACATAACAGAGGTCTGTGATTAACATCACAATCACAGTAACCCCATCCAAAGGAAAGTAAGAGACTTCTTGTATTGTCCTCGGGGAAGAGGAAATGAAGGGGTAAGTGATTAGGACCATTTTTTTCTTCTCTTTGGTACACAATAAATGAGCTTCCTTTCTTTTATTAAAAAAAAATGCTTAGCCAGTGTGGTACCCAGCACCTCTAATCCTAGCTACTCTAGAGGCTGAGGCAGGAGGATAGCTTGAGCCAAGGAATTGAAATAAGGGTACAGTGAGCTATGATCCCACCACTCCAGCCTGGGCACCCAGCAAGACCCTATCTTAAATAAATAAATAAAGCTTAGAAATATGAAGCATTTAATTTAACTAAAGTATGCAGGTGAGCTAGGGAGAAGTGAAGTAGGATGTAAGGTTCATGATTAAAGTTAACCAACAGGAGATGTCAAAAGGTCTATTCATATCAAAAGTGTTTTAGACAAGAATACTTTTGGAAGGCAGAAAATGTGTTTATTGCACTATTGCTTGTGCAATGAGTAGGAGTTTGAAGATGAGGATCAAACCTCCCGGAAGAAGACACTGATAGTCTCGCCTATACTTTTAGCCACTATTATCCCCTGAGACCATAGGAATGTCTGATAACTACTAAATTCAAGAGCAAAGCCCCAAGTCCACAAAAAGCCTGCATCCTGATACACATTGCTTGTTGTCAGTTTCCCCCTCAAAGAGACAAGCAATTGATGCCACTGGTGGGTAATAAAATAGGCTGCCTGTAACTCAGTATAGATTACTTCTTGAAGGAATGGGATAAAGTCATGTTTTCTGTTTTAAGTCAAGATGTACAAGCATAATACACAGAGCAGAAAATTCCCCTGAATCCTAAACTCTGGTTTTGCTGTATGAGGATCCATGTATTAAATATAATACTTCTTGATCTTTCAATATGCTTAAAAGAACAGAAATCTGAACCAGCAAATAGCAAAGGCCACAGCACAAAATTTATTGAGATTATTTACCAAATAATTCATACATATCCAACATCACTGAATGGAAATAACGTTAATTTAAAAAAAACAAGCAAGGCTCAAATTAGGGTCTTTCAAAATACTCAAAAACTTCTTAGTGACTGTATCTTTAACAAATGGAATGATCAAACTAGTAAAGTCAGATGTATCGCAATCCACTCCAAAACTCAGTATTGCCAACATGTTTTTCTACTTAAAAGAAAACAAAAAGCAAAGCCTCATAATTTAGTAATTACAATGTTTCTTGGTTTCTGTTTTCAAATGCCAAAGAAAGAGATCTGATGAAAGGAAGCAAAGCACCTAGTCTCAACAGTCTTTTTCAAAACTTTAAGGTTACTTTCAGTATCAGTATAAATATTTAGATTCTCATCTGACAGATTTCTTCACTTATGTGAGTAAGCATGCTCTCAAAACCTTAGTCTTTTACTCTTGCTTCATACGAGACCTGTTCCTGTTCGATTACACCACTTCCCTACTGACTGGACTAAAACACTAGCTAAGAACTCATTACAATGTCTTCCAAGAAACCAAGATAATCTCAATACAAATTCTGGTGGCCAATATGTTACAGTACTTAGCGATACTTTGTTTTCTAATGGCAAGTATGTTGAAAAACTTAAGTGAATTTCATAACACATAGAAACAGATGATTCTATTACAATATAAAACATCCATTAACTTGTCCTCACTATTCCCTAGGACTTTAAATAACAAATCTAATTATACAACAACAAAGTTCCTTGCCCTACTTAACCCTGTGTCCCAAACAGTGTAAATGCCAAAAATGAGAAACATTTTAAGAAATCTCATATTAAGAACCTTGGATACCACTCAGCATTAGGGATAGAAGGAAAGAGAAGAGAAAAAAATTATCAGAGATTTGTACAGGAAACATGGATGTAAAAGAATATGCCTTTGGATCTTTAAAAAAATTCTCTTTTAATGCTTCAACATGATGGCAAAAAATAAAAAAAAAAGAATTTACTGAATAAAAATAGCCAAATATTTATAAGATATATTTATTATTTTTCTGACCAAAGTGCACGGATATTTAAATCTTCTTAAACAACTGAAAATAATATTCAAAAAATTAAATATAAATGAGAAATTTAACCATTAAATTGCTCTTATTTATACTAACCTTGTATTTAGTCTAGAAAACAAACTAAAAAATTTGAAGTGTTACTAAAACGCTAACTGAATCATTTTAGCATAAATCTAACACATGCATTTCAAGGTTCCACTGCTAAAATTGATTTTGTTAAGATCAATTGAATCATGAATAACACTATCTAACAGAGTATGAGGAACACAAGCTATTACACGTGATCCTTGCCCCATCTATTCAGACTATGTCAGAATGAAGCTGACAATTCTCCCAGGCTCTGAACCCCCAGGGCCCCCATCCTAAAACTTTGAAACAAAGAATATGCCCTGTCATACAACTTTCTACAAAATGCAGTAAATAAACAAAACCTAAGCTTTTTTTTTTTTTACCTTTCTATAGGAAATGGTCAGTTATTTGACAAATATTAAAAAACACTGCTAAGAATCCATTTTAGGAGTTTGTTTACCAAACATACTGTGCAAGAACTGACTACACAAAAGTTCCTTTGAAATTTGGTCCACAAATTCACCTAAGCTTGGAAATTTAAAACTTACAAGAAAAAGAGGAAGTGGGTATCCCTAACCCTAACATACTGTAATTAATAAACGGATCTAATATGCATATTAAAAGGTGTTGCTCACAGAAGGCACAAACTATAAAAGGGACATTCTCTTTTAAGAAAAACAAAGAACTAGCTGATATCCTTCTTTGTTTTGTGAGCACCATAACTAGGATGAAGTAAAAGCTGAATTTACTGTCTATTCCCGTGACCAAAAAAAAGAGCACATAAAAAAATTAATGTTTTGCTATATACTTTCCAGCCATTAATTGAGATGTATTATGAAAGATTAAAATTGTCTTAAAAAGGGGTGTGATAGCAGCTATCAAAGCAATATTCAAGCATGATTTCAAGGATGTTTTCAGGCTTAGAATTAATTAGCCTTCCTTATCAAAAACCTTCACAACTTCATCAAAAACCTGTAAAGGAAAAAGATAATAGTAATTTTAGAAACAGATACCATAAAAACACCATATAGCTAAGTTCCTGTTAAAAATAGTAAATTGTATATTAATTTTCAAAATGGATGATTAAAAAAATCACATTATAATTTCTTAATTATACTGTATTATTTTTGTTTGTGATATGTGTTGAAGTTTCATCTTTTTATGAATTTTACTTATTTATTTATTTTGAGACAGAGCCTCAAGCTGTCACCCTGGGTAGAGTGCCGTAGCATCACAGCTCACAGCAACCTCCAACTCCTGGATTCAAGTGATTCTCCTATCTCTGCCTCCCAAGTAGCTGGGACTACAGGCGCCCACCACATCGCCCAGCTATTTTTTGGTTGCAGCCATCATTGTTGTTTGGCGGGCCTGGGCTGGATTCAAATCCGCCAGCTCAGATGTATGTGACTGGCACCTTAGCCTCTTGAGCCACAGGCACCGAGCCCTTAGTTCTGATTCTAAACACAAAGTTTTCTCATATATTAATATTATCTCATGTCTGTGGAAGCAGACATGGATTAAAAAAAAGATCCCCTGAATCTTTTTCCTCTGAGCCTTTCTTTTTTATCTTATGAATGTAAGAGGAAGAAGGCAGGGGCTCAAGCCTATAATCCTAGCACCCTGAAAGGCTAAGGGGTAAGGATAGCCTGAGCAAGAACAATGTCTCTACTAAAAAGTTACAATTGGCTTGGCGTCTGTGGCTCAAGTGGCTAAGGTGCCAGCCACATATACCTGAGCTGGTGGGTTCGAATCCAGCCCGTGCCCACCAAATAACAATGACGGCTGCAAACAAAAAATAGCCAGGCTCTGTGGTGGGAGCCTGTAGTCCCAGCTACTTGAGAGGCGGAGGCAGGAGAATTGCTTGAGCCCAGAAGGTGGAGATTGCTGAGAGCTATGAAGCCACAGCACTCTACCAAGGGCGACAGCTTGAGGCTCTGTCTAAAAAAAAAAAAAAAGTTAAAAACAGAACAATTAGCCAGACAGCATGGTGTGCCTATAGTCTCAGCTCCTCAGGAAGCTGAAGCAGGATCACTTGAATCCAGGAATTTGAGGCTGCATTTACCTAAGATTATGCCACTGTACTCTACTGAGGGCAAAAGAGCTAGATTCTGTCTCAAAAAAAATAAAAATTAAAAAAAAAAAGAGGAAAAAGATTCAAGGAATCAGGAGACAGGGGAGATAGGTGAGGAGACACTGAAAATATTTGTTGAGCACTAAAGATCTGCAAACTATAATTCAGAGATGACTGATTCATGAAGAAAGAGAGAAATGTTAAGTTTTGGAAGCCCTGTACCTCTGGACCTGTTTGTTCTGTAATGTAAGAGAATAAAGCAGCCCAGGGCTCTTGATCCAGATAGCTTGCCATTCATGTTATAAGTTTTTAAAAAATGAACATGATCCAAATCACAGTTCTCAAAATACTAATTTTTCCAGTACTTGGGAAGAGGTTTGAAATTAACAAACCGCCCACTTCTCATGAAAAATAAGACTGAAGTTATCAAACCCATTTTTAGATTCTTTAAAGGAAAAAAATGTAATTTTTCATTTTGTCTTCAACGGCTTAAGAAACAAACTAATGTGTCATAGTATTTCTTTTTCTCTGCCTACCAACCCCAAGAGAAATAATCACATTTTTACTTGACTTTTTTTAAAAGGCAAGTTAGGGACACTCACTTCATCAACAGATTTAGAAGCATCTATTTTCCTGACTTTCCCCATTTCTTCATATAAGTCAATAATTGGCTTTGTTGACTGAAGATAGGTCTGAATTCTGCAAAAGAAGCACATTGTGAGGTCCTAGGTATCCATCCTTTCTGTTACACGTTCGTTATAGGACAGCTCAGAGGACAATACTGGATCTGACCCAAGTGACTCAGTTATCATTTCCTTACACAAGCCATTTTACAAAGTGAAGCATGACATTTTCTTTTTCTGGACCACAAGGGGACAGGTCTGGGATTGAGGTAATTATGTAAGAACTGAAAAGTACCTCTTTTCCAAGCTCTCTCTGTTGTCATCACTCCTACCACTACTCTTTCCCCTCTCAAGACATCGTTCAATACAGATCTAAAAAGAGATATAGTTATTTTAAAAATATAAAGATTGGAATTTGCCATTCTTTTAACCTGAAAAGAAAATAAAGTTTAAAGAGATAACAAAAAAAATTGCATTAAACTGCATTAAACTCAATGTGTCTAATTCATTAATCAACATGCAAAGTCCTTTTAAATTTAAACATGTGGTTCAATTTATATAAACTAGGTTAAATAAGTACAGAGCACAAAAAGAATTCATTCATGACTCAGTTTTTCCTGTGTATTTTTTTTTCAAACCGCAATAAAAAGAATATCTGTATGTGTATGTGTATGGTTCCATCTCGGATATATTATTAACTTATTAGGTATGAATTACATGCTTCAAACTTTGTTCGATTTTTGCTTACTTTTCTGTAACTCCATAAATATCCAAATATTTAAGAGTCAACATATTTGCATTTGAATAAGGCATCCCTTGTTAATCATGAATAAACATTCTTTAGTTATAAGCTGTGGTAACATTCTAAAGTTAACTTTGAAGAATAAGTGAAAACATATTTTTGGGGGTTGGAAGAAGAGTTACATTTTAAAGCAACTCAAAGGCTGCAGCAAGTCTCTCCAGAGGCACATTTACAATTCAACATAAGAATAGCCAACTTCTTTCAAGGCACTATGACACATTCTTAGTCTTTTGGGCTATTGGCATTAATTTAATGAAATTTATATTACAGCGGCTGTCAAACAGAGTCAGGACTTTTAATTAAATGATTCCGAGAAATTTAGTTATTCAAATGTATGACTGTGTTTGTTATTAAAAGGGCCAGAACGAACAAGAACACTTTCCTGCTTTTTTCAAGATCAAGATCATTTCACTCTTAAGACAAATCAAGTTATCCTATATGTTTCTTTAAAATAGAAAAATTTCCCAATTCCCAGAAATGTGTGTTTTGTTTCCTACAAACAAGCCGATAAGTAAGGTGACCAGATTTTAACATTGGTAAAGCGGTGGGGGGGTGGGGGG